GTATTTTAACACAGACGGAGCCATTTTATTTAAACACAAAGCATTCTGGGTAAATGATGATGTGGATAGGTCATCAGTGTGAGCGAGCTATGCAGTATCCACCCTGAAGGTTAATCTTGGACAATATCTGATGATCGACTCTTTAAATGAAACCAGAGAGCGTTGACAGAGAGGAGAAGGTAGAAATGACTCAGCCTGGAACTGAAAATATGGACAAGTTTAGCTTGTTTGTCACGCTAGCACCGAGCTAATACATATAAGGCAATATAGCATCAGTGCTAGCACAAAGGCTAACAGACTAAGCTGTGATTCTTCTTCCATATTTTCAGTTACAGGCTGAGTCATTTCTACCTTCTCCTCTCTGTCAACGCTCTCTGGTTTCATTTAAAGAGTCGATCATCAGATATTGTCCAAGATTAACCTTCAGGGTGGATATAGCTCGCTCACACTAAGGACCTTTGTCATCATTTACCCAGAAAGCTTTGCACGTAAATAAAATGACTCCATACGTGTTAAAATATATTTTTAAAAATTTACAAAACTACAGCCTACATAATTTTTACAGCCTTTATTTTATAGTTAAAATAAATGTTTAAATAAAGTCTAATGTTACAACTAATCAGGGATCCCTTTAAAGTTGAACACTTAGCTTATGATGCTAAAGGCAAAGTCGCACAAACTTTCCTCCTCTATAAAATCATCTATGTGATGTACTTTTAGTGAGATGACAAAGTATAATAGTTACTGAACAAGCCTTTTCCCTTAGACATTAATAAACACTCGAGCAGTGTCATATGCAGGCCTGGATTACCAGCTCATCGTGTGTTTAGGCTGTGCACGAGTGCCCTATCCTCCACCTAAAATGACCCCCACCCAGCTGCTACTTCCTTTGTGAAAACAACACAGAAGTCACCCAGTGTGATACAGACCAGCTAATTAAATGTGAACCCAGAGACAGAGTGGAATTACTGTTACAACAATGCATCAGCGGTGCACAGGGTTAGAGAAATGGAGGGATGCTGAGCAACTGCATGTTGTGCGAGTGTTTCTCTTATGTAGACCAATGAAGCAGCTCTACTCTGTGTGAGTGGATTCAATTATAGATTATAAGAGGATGTGTGTGTGTGTTAGGGGGGGTAAACACAGAGATTAAGCAAGCAGAGTTGAATGGGTTATTAGTGGTTAAAACGAAGGAGTTGGATAATGAAGATTGGGCTGAACGAGCAAAGAGAAAATCTCTGCTTTTGCCTTGCTGAGGAGAAGACAAGAGTTAAAGAGACGAGGGGGRAAATAGAAAGTAATGAGCAAGAGGATGATATAGGGGAGGAGACAGTAAGTTGGGGAAGAACATGAAAGGAGGAGGAAGGAAACAGAACAAAGCAAAAGTGAAACAAAGGACGACAAAGACAATTAAAGCTAGACAATATAGAAGAAGGATGGAGAGGAGGACARGAAACCGCGAAGACAAATGTGGGTAAATGAGACTGATAATGGGGAGCAGTGGTGCATGGCCAGGATGATTGTTTTTCAGGGCCCTTGCTAAATTGAATGGAAGATGTGAATAGGGGTAGATGAGTAGAGGAGGGTTTTCCCCCCCTGATGGAGCAGCTAAACTTATGACACGCCACCTGAAATGTCTGATGGCTGCAGCGACAAACACCTGCCTCACTTAGAGATGTATTGTCCTGACACCTGAGATCACAAGAGGCCATTAAGATGATGCAAAAACAAACAGAACCCTGCTGCAACCTCAGAGATGCCGAGGTGACAAATGGTTATGGCGAGTCCCCTAAAGCTAAAAGGTGATGTGATCTGACCAAATAAAACCTCTTAACAATCTGAGACAATGCCATGTTTGAACATTACTACTAAAGACAGGTTGAAAGGAGTGTATTGTTTCAGACAGCAGAGGGTTTTATTTCATAAAGCACTTAAAGTCTGTGCAGAGCAGAAGCACACCTCTTCCAAAATTCAATAAGCTGCGGCTCTTTGCTGAGTTTGCAGTCTGTGTTGCTCAGCTAATATTTGTGGTTTCCCCGTTTCCCTTCTCCTTCAATTTAAAATTTCCAGAAAATAATCTTAATAAATGTCCGCTTTGCCATCACCGCAAATACGATGCCGACTTCCATCTGTCATTTGATGCATCTTCGTAAAGTAATCATTGCAACGCTGATTTCTGATTTCCTGCGATAACGTCAACAATGTATCATTTGTCACAAAGCAATTTAATTCAGTGGGTTTTATTCCTCTGCAGCTACAGTGTCAATCAAACTATTGGACATTAGAGTGGACAGGTGTCCATCTCTGCCAGTCAAATTAAGATATCCTATTTTACTGGCTTTATCTTTCAAAAGGTAATGACTACAGAACAGATGCTTTTCTGATGGTTTATATTCAGCAGCAGCATAAAAAAAGCAGGCTCTCATCATGAGGATTGTATTTTATGTCAATCAAAACATGCACAAAATGGTTCAAGTGCAGGTTAACCTGTCACAGTCTCTGCTGCCGAGCAAAACCCAGCGGGGGATTTTYGGAGAAATCAATAAAAATTACAACCCAAACTGTGAAGATTGCAGCAGAATAACAGAGACGGACAATAAGAAGAGGAAATAAAACTAAAACTAATTTGTTCCTGCTGAAACTGAAAAATTACTGCCAGATAGATAAGGTAGCAGCGGCTGAAAGAGCTACAATTTACCACACTGTGCAGTAGCTTTGGATCCAACTGAGCACAAGTTATTTTATCAGAATGRAGGAGAGGAAAGAAATACCCTTTCCATCAGGTTAAAGTTAAACTCTTGACTGCACAAACAGACCATCGTTGCAGCCTAGGAATGTTGATTTGATAGCATAAGTTGTATTTCTTACACACATCAKCTGAATAAAAATACACTCAGACATTTTAGACATTTTGTTCCACAGCTGATCACTCATTGGAAAAGAATGGGCAGTTGAGTGCTGACTTTTGCACTGTTCACGTAAAAGTGCACACAATTCTTCAGTAGGCATGAAGATATGCACAGTGTGTTTGAGGATGAGAGTTTAAGTGAGCAGAACAGTCAGTCATGTGGTTACACTGCTGAGTCAGTGCAGTGTTTTATCAAGGGACTTGAATTGTAGAAACAGCCCCGTTCACTCAGAGCTTGCACACTGAACTGCTGTTGAGTAGCGAATAGGAGACAAGGAAGTTGTCTTGCACAAACCTGAAGTGCCGCACTCTTGATTTAACCAGCTGACCTTAAACAACATGGTTGAATATTCGTGAAATTCTTTTGGATGAGTTTGAGCATCTCTTGGTTTTGTTCACAAGTAAGGGAAGAATGGGGTGTGAAGATTGACAGATAGGTGCAGCTTCTGCAGTATTGTGCAATCTGGGGCGGTCCATTGTGGTGAAGAGGGAGCAGAGCTGCACGGACAGTCTGCATTCCTATCCTTACCTAAATCCCTAAATCTGGGTGGTGACTGAAAGAACAAAACCATAGGGATGGGAAATCGTCCCTATTTTCAGATCATAAATCATGGTCACTGGCTATCGATCCATTCGGCTGATAAGTCATGCGCAGTTACGTTGTAAAAAAAAAAGAAAAAAAAAAGGAAAAAGCAAGCAGGTCCGCTTATTAAAAGCGACAGCTTCTTTTTTCTAAAGTCGCTTGTAAATTCCGTGGTTATTCGGCGTTCATGTTTGCACAGACCATTCAGAGTTCATGAGACCCCCCGCGCCGAGCTCCTGGGAAACCCCCCTCCCCGCTGCTGCATACGTCAGTACAGGGGATTTCTACCCCGAGGGAGTCCAGTGCGGAAAAAAAGGTCMGACACTCGACGTTATTTATCCACAAACTGGTCCAGGATTAAGCTCAAACATTTTTATCGGAATTCACTGTGAAAATAGTCTATTTTATCCCCTTTTATGAGGTTTCGCCCGTTTGACTATAAATCGCTGCTTCCTGGTAGTCGGCGTTTGAACGAGTCACTTTTTTTCTCTCCTTTTTTTAAGCCAGTTGAAGCAAACGCAGCATCTGAGCGCTTTTAGCACAAACAAACACTCCCACAAACTTCTGACGAATCACACCATATAGTTCGTATTAGGGCTGTGTATTGGCAAGAATTTGGCGATACGATACATATCATAACAGAGGGGTCACGATACGATATATCCCGATATATTGAGATACTGTAAGCAAGGCAATATATTGTGATTTTTTTGTCCAAAAATTCTATTAAATAAAAACCTCTTACTGAAAAAAAAAGAAAAGAAAAGCTAATGTTTACTTACAATGCTTACATTGTCTCCTACAATGCTAATGCTACCCTTACTCTCTGGCGTTCAAGAGGTAGAGGAGCCAAATGGCTGGCTCCCTGCTGCCAACTAGTGGTCAGAGGATGAACTACAACATAAAAATGAACGGTCGGMAAGAAGGTTGACATTTTAAACCTTAATTAAAAATCGATACAGGGCTTTAGAATATCAATACAGTATCGGGAAATGAAATATCGCGATATTTCAGTGTATCGATATTTTCTTACACTCCTAGTTTGTATGTGTTCTTATGTGGGAGGAGGGTGAAAAGTTTGACCCGCACACACACCAGAGCCCAGAGTGACGAGGATGAGCAGGGGTGAGGGAGTGCGCTCCGGTCCGGTTCGGAACCGATTAAAATTATTTGTTCAAATGTACGATTGTCATGGATTATTCGTTTTGTAACTAAACGTTATAATATAGCACTATTTGGGTCATTTGTGGCGCACCAAAGCAAGAAGATGACGAGGAGAGACGTGAAGAGGAGCTGCGCATGTTGGCTCCGACTCCCGAGAAAAAAAACAGAGACGCAGCACTGTTTTTATTTCCTCATTTGCAAAGATCACAATGATGATTAAAACATTTTAATTTACAGAGGGCGCAATTAAAATTTATTTTACATCCCTGGCACAATATTTAATTAATTAAGTCGCCCTTAAAAAAAAAATCGCATTCCAACCCTTCAATTGCCGATAGACGATTGAATCATAAATCATGCCATCCATAAAAACCACAGATTCAGGCAGCTGGAATGAACGTAGCAGGACTGTCCTTCACAGATACATAAAGACTTAGTAGGACTGCTGCTCCTCCAGATTGAGAGGAACTAGTTGAGGTGATTCAGCATCTGGTAAGGAGGCCCCCCTCAGGGAGGTTGTTTTGGGCATGTCCAACTGGGAGGAGACCCCAGGGGACATGAGACCCAGGACATGCCGGASAGACTACATCTCTCGAATGGCCTGAGAATGAATTAGACTTTTCCTGTTACAGCTGGAACAGCTGGCTGTTGAAAAAGGTGTCGGGTCTTCCCTGATCAAGCTGCTGCCCCAACGACCCRACTATAAATCAAGCAAGTGCATGGACTTAAACAACATGGCTGAATATTCGGATTATAAAACCAGTTCTCTGAACCACGGCGACTCCTGCATGATGACAAACAGCGGTGAGACGTGGTATGATGAAATACCTGAATCAGTGCTTGGATGAAAGCCTCTGCTGTGCCTCACGTCTTCACACTCAAACAGATTAATATCAATGCCTCCGAGCTAAAATAAAATTGGACAAATAGCATGTGATTTTCTATTAAAATTTAAAACCGCCCGTGGCATGTTTGACAAAAGTGGTGCTTTTGTTCACTTACAGACTCTACTTGAATGAGAAAAGATACGACTGCACCACCTAATCACTTTCCTCTATTGGATTCTGCTGCCATTCAGCAGATTAGAAAAATAACAGTGCCTCTCAAGACCTTTAATAATATAACATGACAAAAATAGAATATTTACAAAAAAAAAAAAGCTAAAGAACTTCTCAGTCTTATCTTTTCACAGCCTGTTGTTCTTGTTCTGTATTTGTCGAACTGTAAGTTACATCAAACCAAAACACACTCCATATTTTCCATTTCAGATCTTTTTTTTTTCTTTTTTGCATATCTTTAAAAAAACAAACTTGTTACARGAATAAAAGATGAATACTTAATCCTAAAGACTTTACATAGTTCTTCACAGTAAAAGGTATTTTTTAAGCTGCACAGAGCCACAATACATGAATGGAATTTAAGCAGAATACCAGTAATCAGTAATCTTTTGTTTTTGTCAGCATGCTTTTACAGAGACCAGAATTTGACCTCTGCATTTACACCATCTGAAGTTGTGCAAACTCTCCAAGCAGCSAGCAATTAAACACACAAGAGAAAGTAAACACACACTGAGACGGGCAGCAAAAATGAGGCTCGCTGTGACAGAGAGGAGCAGGACGGAGCTCATTATGTTCTGCTATAATTCACAATTCTCGCTGGTTAGGAAAGTGAACCGACAACCTTCTGAACTCAAACAGTCTCTCTAATCTCGGAGCAACAAACAAATAACGATTCTTACATTTTTAAAGCTTTGTAGAACACATAAATGGATTTGTCAGCTATATTTCTGTAATTTATTAGATGTTAAAACAACCACAATTATGGTACAAGCTACATGTGTATAAAATGTATGAGTCTGCACTGGATGCAGTAAGACTAAAGCTTTTTATCATGTAGGAATCATCCACAGATTGTACTAAAGCTCGTAAAGTAAATGATAATATTAAAGTTTACTGAGCTGCAAAAGCAAAAAACACAAAAATATAAAAAAATCTAAAAGGAAAAGACACAAAGGAAAGATTTTGTTTTTTATTTCTTTTATCCATTCTGGTTATTGTTTAAAATCAAACCTAAACTTGAGCAAAGCCAAGTTTAAATTTAGATTTTTAAAATCGGAATACAATATTTTAAATGATAAAAATGTACAAATACTACTTATGCAAGTTTGGGAGAAAGTCCAAAAAAGGTAAGAGATTTTTTATATGAATATTTGTGCAGAACACCTTTAATTTTATGGTATAYATGGATATTTTTATACTTTTATTCTGCTGATATCATATTTACAACCTCAGCCCTATAGAGAGACAGGAGCCTGGTTTTACAGTCAGAGCTGTGGTGTTTTTATGAATCTGTTTATGTGGAGCTGGAGATCCGCACCAGCTCCTCAGCGACCTGAAAAGAAAAAAAGCGGGTAAAGAAAATGGATGTTTGTGAGGACATTTTGATTTTTTTTTCTGTCTCAGTTTGAATTAAAGCAGAGTTCAATAAACAAATACGTAAACGTAATCAAACATGTAATATTAAAAGAGAAACAGCTCAATGTGGAAAGAAGAAATCTTTAATATTTGTCAAGGTCAACTCCAATAACCAGGTAGAAATTGATGCTGATAAAACTGCTCACATAAAGCTCTTCAGTTTTACAGACAAGAATGAATGACGCCTTTTAAGGACGTCTTTGTTAAGATTTTATCAATTCTTTCTAAACGATTTTGCTCATCGATCCGGTATTTTAATGGTACTCTGATGCTTTACAGTGGGAACGAAATTAAAAAACTACGAACATGCAAGAATTTTAATTTAGAGCAATTTAAAAACACACAATATAGACTTTGAAAAGCCACTTTCAAATGTCTTGTGTATTTATTTTTATTGTAATATTTTTTCTATGGTAGCTATTGTAATTATCTGATTAATGTAAAATTAAACTATTTGGACAAAAGCAAGGATAACCAGAGAAAACTATATTTAATTATAAAAAGGAAAAAAGTCTGAATGCTGTGAATTAAACAAGGTGAACTGCTTTGTGTTTGTATTTAAAGCACAACCTGCTTTRTGCACTACAAATATTTTAGAAAAAAGGGAAGTAAATTGAAAGGAGTGAGGCTGTTTCATCTTTAACTCTTCAGTTCTGCTCTTAAAGGTCACCTTATWGTAAATGGTTTTAAGCACAGTTTGCTGTATTCTGTGAACCAGCMAGCAAAGACGGCCAGCTTCCTTTTAGCACTGCAGATAAATTATTCAACATTAGAGGCAAGCAAGATTTGAAAGCAGGGCTACTTTCCAGGCTTACAGAAAGGTAGGTGCATCAAAAAATGGTCGACTACTAAACATTTAGGCTTTGTTTTAACGAGAAAGGGATGTTGATTTACATTACAAATACTTAGATATATTTCACATTCAAAGAAGAAGAATTCAGTATACATACCCAGAGGTAGTAGGTGAACTGAAGTGCAAAGATGGCGATGCCCTCATTGTCAAAAGAGCCCGCCACAGAGCGCGAGATGTAGCCCGGGACGATGGCGATGAAGCAGGCTGCCAGCAGCCCTGCGCCCTGGTTCCACAGCTCCCGGGTCAGCAGGAAGGTGGAGATGGCAGTCAGTCCACTGAACACTGGGGCCAGGAACACGCACACGTCTCGGATATGGACTGTGATGTGAAGTAGGTTGAGCACGTAATGGATAAGGCCTGCAGTCACCATTAACCCTGGATATACCTGAGGACAGAGAGAGAACTGATGTTAGACAGGACCATGCAAAAAAAAAAAAAGTTTCTGCGGTGGGTGACAGTCACGAGTAGGATCAGACTGTGCCTAATGTAATTATGTCTTAGCTTAGCTTTTAGTTGACAACCCACCTTCCTGTACTTCTATTTATCTGAGGAAGTACAATCAGCTCTTTTACTTCATTTGAAGATCAGTTTCTCTGGTGAGTCACAATGAGAAACCMGCAGAATAAAAAATTGTGCAAGTCCTGACCTTTACAGCCAATATTTTTATCATGCTGATGAAATTTGGCTAATTGGAAGCCTAGCCGTTTTGTAATTTCCACTTAATGGCAAATTGAATTTAAATTAGTTACTTTAAATGCAACAAAATTCTAATTAGGCTCGTTTCCACAACCATATCTGAGGCTGACAAGCTAGTCGGAGCAGTGCAATGTTCAGACGGTGGCGAAAWTTCTTATTCATAGGTTCCACATTCGAGTGTTGTCCAGGTGAATAAACTCGCATCGCAAATGTGCATAAACAAACATTAACATGTAGAAACACAAGGGTGTGCCAGGTCCTTTTGTGGGTCACTGCATGTAGCCAAGACTTTACAGACTGTGCAGACTCTACCTCTGCATAATCATGTTAAAAATATTCAAACAAAGTGCACTGATTACTGGCTTTAACTGGTGGTGGTTGAGGCGCATAAACTGGTAAATGTCACTTCCTTTGTTTTGGGATGAAATACGTATATGACTGACATGAACTTGCCTTTATTTATAAATGGCCCATTATATTTTTACCCAGTTAMTCAAGGTGGAAATTCTACTAAGTCAAAGTAAATATCCGTATATCACCATCAAGACTGAATGTTTTCTGCAGCTACATCTCTAACCCACAAGTCAGACAGGAAACAGGCAGCGGTTACAACGATGAAACCACTTTCAATGAAACATCGTCATCTCCACCAAGAGTAGGCTCTTATGTAAATCTGCTCAACTCTTTAGTGAATTAATAAAAACTCAAGAGTAGTTTATCACAATGTCAMTTCCTTAAAGTAACCAATGTCTCTCAACAAATAGCCTTCTGTCAGCTCTTTTTCTAAAAAAAATAAATAAAAAAATCTGGTCATAAACCTTCATGTACACCCATGTGCAACTTGTCAGCATTTAGATGTTTTGCATTTGTTTGTCAAATTTTATGTACAGTTCAGGCTCTGCTTCAATACAACCCACCGGTGGGAAACTGCGACAGCACAGCGTGTACGGTGAAGTCCTGCTGCAATGGGTCTGTAGATCCCTTCATGTACTGCCACATCGCTCGTGAATGGCAATTAATGCAACGCAGTCATCTGGCTGAATGAAACCATAAAAACCCTGAACATCTCGATGACAGAACGCTGTTTAAACAAACTGGCAGCGCCATTAACGGCTCACGGATGTGACAGGGATTTTGAAGAGGAAAATGTAAAACTGTCACTGACAAAGAGTAAACGCCTTTTACCCTGGTGGAGCACAAAAATTTATTGGAAAACTAAAATTTGACAAACGGCATTTGCATCACGACACATTAACAATGGGTAACAATAAAACTGAATCCAGTCACTTTCAAGTAGATGCAGGCTGCCGTGGGCGATGCATTTGGCTCCATGTATTTAYGGTTTTAAAAAATGTTAGACCTTCTATTTGTTACGTATTTCGGTGTCTTGAGTTGCAGAACATATTGCATTTGTGGGTTCTTCTAATTCTCTTAGGGCTGAGGGTGGCAAATCAACAAATCTAATATGGTAATTTCCCACACACTCACTAATTAGGAGATGCATAAAATAAACTAGCTTAGCTGGGTGTGCAAAAAAAAAAGCAAACAAATTCAACATAAAATTTAAGCTTAACTGAGTCACTAAAGAATTTCAGGCTTGGTGGGGGAGCTCATATCACTGCAGTCGCACAGTGTGCAGCACAGCTGGCTGCTGGGAACACTGATCCAAAACTTTCTCTGTAAGACCATTAATTTTCAGCAATGAATGGTGTGTTTGTTTTTACCCACAAATAAGAGGTGGATTTACACCCACAGACTGCTAAAGAGTCATTAGTGTACATTACTTTTGAATAAAGACAAAAACATGTCAAGAGCTTCAGCTCACYGAGTAGTTAATGAAAAATAAAATCAGTTTTAAATTAAATTCCATCAGGGGCACTACTAAAGGTTCAACCAGCAATTACAGAAACAGTTTGAATTTTAAAAGAACTCRTTTCTCATCTTTGTGAAATTGCTTCGGTCAAGATCTCCCCTGAAGCACAAGGATAACTTGGACAAATAACGTTTTAATCGCAAAATGAACACAGTGTTCCTCAACAGAATGCATAATTACCAACACACTGAGCTAAATCAAACCGTGCTCTGTTTAGGTGAGGCCTCGTGGACCCAGACTCGTCCAACGATGAGAGGTGATCTAATTAGAGCCTGGCTCTGGATCCTGCAGCTGTCTGAAGTATGTACAACAAGAAAGTGATGCTTAAAGTGTGTTCACTGTAGCCTCAGTCTATAAAACGTAAGGTTATGAATATAACCACGGTTCCTTGAAGGAATGGAACAAAGTACAACACACAGTTGTATATGGGACAAGCCACCTCTAATCACGTCTTTAGACCGGTGACGTTGAACGTCGAGTGACAGGCTCCGCCTTCACCCTATAAGTTCGGAGTCACCAGCGTCTTTACTCAGTTAGATACCGACCTTCACCGAGCCTTTTGTGATGCGGGACCAACAAGGTGTTGTACTTCGTTCCATTCCTTCAAGGAACCGTGGTTATATTCATACCCTTACGTTCCTTTTCAGTCATTTCACTCAGTACATCACACAGTTGTATATGGGACTTGTCAAAGCACCCCCACAGAGCAGTATCAGACCTGAGTTAAGTRGTGTGCCTGAGTAAGTACTGTACTAACGCAGAGCTTTGGACCCGGCAGAAAGTACAGAATGAGCCACCGAAGGTGCGGTTACATCCAGGCTGTAAAATCGTGCAAATGTGTTTGGTGAGGCCCAGCTGGCCGCGGCACAAATGTCACTCACAGGTTTAAAAAGGGCCCAAGATGTCGCTACACCCCTGGTGGAGTGAGCTTTAACTCCAAGAGGGATTGGAAGGTTTTTGCTGCTGTATGCTAGCAAGATGGCCTCTATAATCCAGTGAGAGAGTCTTTGTCTAGAAAGAGCTTTACCTCTGTGTGGGTTAGCAACAGCCACAAACAGCTGATCACATGACCTTACATCCTGTGTGCGGCTGATKTAAGTGCGTAGAGCACGTATGGGGCACAGAAGATGCAGCCTCTTTTGCTCCTCAGATGCAAAAGRCGGGGGATGAAAGCTGGAAAGCTCTATAGACATAGAGAGACGAATCCTGGTCCACCCTCTCAGCAGCGGGGGTGGAGTGAGCTGGGCACGGCTCCTCGTCGTCTTCGGACAGACTGAGAACCTCCTGCTCCATCTGCAGAACATCGTCCTCCTCTTGGTTTAGATCCAGTAGAAACTGGATCTCGCCCCCCTCTATGTCGGGTGAGGCCGCCTCATGCTTCATCTGATCCGCCCAGCTAGCAACGGGGGCTTCGACCGCCGAATCCTCGTCTTTGTTGGACTGAGCTGTCTGACTGGATTCGGAGAGCAGCGGGTCTCGTCAGAAAACAGCAAATTCCCCCAGCATTTTCTCCAGGAATTTCCCTCTCCTCTCCAGTGTCGGACGCAAAAGTCCGGCAGAGGCCGGGCAGGCCTCAGGCTGGTCCTTCTCATGAAGCTTAAAGGTGCACCCCTGAGGACAGGGGCGAACAGGAGACTTTGGCTTCTTCAAAGGTGGTTTTATGCTCATCGTGAACCACAAAACAGATTTTCAGCAGAAAATAAAGGTCACTTAAGTAGCGTCGAGTGGCAGACACATGAACCAGCAGGCAACGTGGTTAGCACCAGTAAAGCTAGCCTAAGAACCTTAGAAGCTGAGCTAACTAGCAGCAGCTATGTGAGCTCAGGTTTAGAGGTGACTATCGCGAGGTGAAGGGCGATAGAACTGAGTAATGACGCTGGTGACTCCGAACCTATAGGGTGAAGGCGGAGCTTGTCACCCGACGTTCAACGTCACCGGTCTAAAGATGTGATTAGAGGTGGCCTCAGCCAGGCGCGCGAGGGCACGCGTGTCCCATATACAACTGTGTGYTGTACTGAGTGAAATGACTGAAAAGGAACTACCGCTAATAAACTCAGGTCTTCATCTTTATAATTAGTCGGTGCCTACAAGACCTGAGCTTCACCAGGCGATCCAAAGCTCTTGAATGAAAATGAACCAAGTCGTGCCTCTTGGCTGTGAGGATTTGATTGCGTCCAATGAAGCGGAATCCCAGCAATAATCTCGTAATCATTAGACATTTTGAACTCTGTATTAGCGACCAGGTAGGAAAAATGTTCAAGGTATATTCAAGACTGCTACATTTTTCTGATGAGGTTAGGTTTGAGAAAATTGTCTGTGAATAATTAATAAACACCATTTATTTTTTATAAACTGATAGGAAAGAATTACAGCTTTCTCATTACAAAAACATTAAAATCTGACAAAAACTGTTACTGAAAACAAACATTAATTGTCTGCTGGAGACAAAGAGTGGGCTATTGGCTTGACAGCCCAGTGTTGTTGTGGACTGACACATTAAAGAGGCTTTCTTTTTGCATTTGCAGCTCAGAAAGAAAGAAGAACTGGCAGTCGTCCTCTGGGGAGAGGGGGGCGGGCGGAAGAGAAAGGGGAATAAAACGGAGAGGGCAACTGGACTGGTGTTGGCAAAGAGGCACTCAACTGTCACAATAAGTGATATCAAATCATCCATCTTCCAAATGGTGCAAGCTATCTGAGTGCTTAGAGACTTAATGTTTTCATACACAATTAATGAGCGCTGTCAAGATCATCTGTTTGACTTTGAATTAAAAATGTGGGGTTAGGTGAGGATAAGGTTTGGACCAAAAAAAATGCAC